ATCCTCTGGGGGATTGGAAGCCAGTGGAGGCGAGCGAGGGTGGGAGTGATGTGGTTGCGAAGCCTGGTACGGGACAGTACACGATCTGCAGAGTTCTGAATGACCTGCAGCTTGTGGAGGGAGGTGCCGGGAAGGCCGGCGAGGAGAGAGTTCCCATAGTCCAGCCTTGAGGTGATAAAGGCGTGGACCAGAGTTTCAGCAGCGTGAGGGGTGAGGTAGTGCCGTAGTCTGGCGATGTTCCGGAGGTGATGGAAGGCGGTGCCAGTTGTGGTGCAGATATGAGGAAGAAAGGACAGCTCAGGGTCGAACAGAACGCCAAGGTTTTTGACTGGCTTTGAGAGGTGGAGAGTACAGCCTTGATGCGTCGCAGCTATCAAGCTACCGGCCCATCTCCAACCTCCCCTTCTTGTCCAAGGTCCTTGAAAAAGTTGTTGCCTCCCAGCTGCGTTCTTTCCTCTCCACCCATTCATTATTCGAACCCCTTCAGTCGGGTTTCCGTGCTGCACATAGCACAGAAACCGCCCTGGTCAAGGTCACTAATCACATCTTGACCATTTGTGACCAGGGCTCCCTCTGCATCCTCTTCCTCCTCGACCTATCGGCCGCATTTGATACAATCGACCACCCTATCCTCCTCCACCGCTTGTCCTCTGTCCTCAACCTTCAAGGCCCTGTCCTTGAGTGGTTTAGGTCCTTCCTCTCCCACCGTCTTCATGTGGTTTCCACAAACGGCTTTTCCTCCAGCCCCCACACTGTCTCGTGCAGTGTCCCTCAGGGCTCTGTCCTCGGTCCCCTCCTCTTCACCCTCTATATGCTCCCCCTTGGTGACATCATCTGCAGACATGGGGTCTACTTCCACATGTATGAAGATGAGACCCAACTCTACCTTTCCTCCTCTACCCTCAACTCCACGACCACCGATGTCCTGACAGCCTGCCTGTCTGATATCGAGTCCTGGACGAGAGACAACTTCCTTCAGCTCAACGTGCGAAAAACTGAGGCCCTCCTGATTGGCTCACGTCAGCGCCTCCGCCCCTCAGGTGCTGACAGCATCAGCATCCAAGGCTGCACTCTCCACCTCTCAAAGCCATCAGGAACCTCGGCGTTCTGTTCGACCCTGAGCTGTCCTTTCTTCCTCATATCCGCGCCACAACTGGCACCGCTTTCCATCACCTCCAGAATATCGCCAGACTATGGCACTTCCTCACCCCTCACGCTGTTGAAACTCTGGTCCACGCCCTCATCACCTCAAGGATGGACTATGGGAACTCTCTCTTTGTCGGCCTTCTCGGCACCTCCCTCCACAAGCTGCAGGTCACTCAGATCTCTGCAGCTCGTGTACTGTCCCGCACCAGGCTTCGCGACCACATCACTCCCACCCTCGCTCGCCTCCACTGGCTCCCCATCCCCCAGAGGATCGAATTCAAGATCCTCATCCTCACCTACAAGGCCATTCACGGCCTTGCTCCCTCCTACCTCTCCGACCTACTATCCCCCTACTTACATGCCCGTACCCTCCGTTCCTCTGGCTCTGGTCTGCTCCACATCCCCCGCCCTAACCGCCCTACCATCGGTAGCCGGGCCTTCAGCCTCTCATCCCCTAGGCTCTGGAACTCCATCCCCCAGTGCCTTTGCCTTGCTTCCTCCCTTTTCTCCTTCAAGGCCGGTCTCAAGACCTTTCTCTTTGACCGTGCCTTCAGCTCCCCTCTCGACTCTCTACCCCCTCCTCGCTCCCTCCCTTCACCCTGACCATTTCCCCCTTGCTCGGGTCCCGACCCAACTGTCCAGCGCCTTGGGACGTCCTCCCGATGTGAAACGCACTCTATAAATGAAATCTGTTGTTGTATCTTGTTGTTGTTGCAGAGGTAGTGGGGAAAAGCAACAACAATAAAATTACATTTGTAAAGCACCTTTCAATGTCGGGAGAACGTTCCAAAGCGCTGGACTGTCAGTGGTTGAAGAGAAGGGTCTTGAGATGGGTCTTGAAGGAGGCAATGGAGGGGGCGACGTGGAGGGACTGCGGGATGGAATTCCAGTGGGTGGGGGCAGAGTGGTTGAAGGCCCACTCAACAATGTTGGGGCCCGCGAGGCAGGGGATGTGAAGCAGGCCACTGAGCGAAGGAGCGGGCAGGTTGGTAGGGAGTTAGGAGGTTCCAGAGGTAGGAGGGAGCAATTCCATGGAGGGCTTTGAAGGTAAAGGACCTGGATCTTGAACTGTATCCTTAGTGTGATGGGAAGTCAGTGGAGTCGGCTGAGGTTGGCGGTGATAGGGTCACAGAGCCTGGTGCGGGAGAGGGCTGCAGAGTTCTGGATGATCTGCAGCCTATGGAGGGAGGGAGTTTGTATAGTCAAGCCTGGATGAGATGAATGCATGTCAGAAAAACATTTCCACTTTCTCAAATGATGGGTAGGAGTTGGAAGAAACAAGAAAGGTAAATAATAACTGTAAAGGGAGAACAATTGGAGTAGGAATTTGAATAGGTAGACAGAAGACAAAATCCTTGGTTTTAATTAAGAAGGAAACTCCTCAGATGAAAGCAACATCAATAATTAAAATTTCTTCAAAATATTTAATGAGCAGAAATTAAAGTTTACAAATTGTAGTTCATCCTTCAGAAAACATCAATTTAATATCTTATTGCTCACCTAATCCATGAAATTCGCAGCTTGAAAATGAAAGCAATTTCCAAAAGAATTATTATTTCTAAAATACACACAAGCTAAAGAATTATTTTATTAGCAGAACAATAAAAGTATCCTTAAGTAACTAAATATATCTCAGAAAATATGTAATATAATTCATGACTGATCTTCTTGTAATATACAACTGGTGTCACAATTGAAAACAATTCTCCCCGTTGTTATTGACCCTATTAAGCGCTCTGAGTTGCTATCCTGTGTGATGGGTGCTATATATAAACAAATTGTTGCTGTTGTAGCTTCTGTAACATAACTTAAAAAATTACACAAATGAAATATTGCTATACGTGCTAATTGAATCATTATTTGAGAAATTAACTCAATTAAATACCTTTGATTGACTGACTGCTAACAACAAAACTGAATGAGCCTTAAAACTGCATTTTTTAAAATAACAATGAATTTTCAGAGTTAGTCACCAAAGTACATTTTGTTTAATTGCGATAACCCTTACCTGAGATTAGATTTGCCAATGAATTATTTTCAGACCAATTCACCATAATATGTTTTTTAGTTTCGTTTTCACTGGTGTGTATGAATAATAATAATAATAATAATAAGCCTTGCATTTGATCTAGCGCTTTTCACGTCGGGAGGACGTCCCAAAGCGCTTCACAGAATACACTGTAAAGTGAATTGACTGTATATTTGTGGGCGAACGCAGCAGCCAATTGCGCACAGCAATGTCCCACAAACAGTCATGGATTGAAAATGACCAATTTTTATTATTGTTTTTGTTTTTTGGAGGGATTATTATTAGGCGTGTGGAGTAAGGAAACTTGCCCAAGGTTTCGCCCTCTGCCTGGAATTGAACTCAGGTCTCTCACTTGCAAAGCGAGTGCTCTAACCACTGAGCTATAGGATTCCACATGCTCTCCCCACTAATCAAAGAATATTTTCACTTAAAAAATAAATAAGTTGCAAATTTATAAAGTTTGTACATTCAACGCCATTCAAAGTTATTGTGCATTTGTTAAAATAGAATTTAACTTTTCTTGTGATCTCACGATGGTCAGTTTTGATCCGTGGAATTTCGTCTGTTCATAGCTTCGGTCTCATTTCAGTTGAAGTGTAAAGATGCTAAAAAGTGACACTAAAAAAATAGTGAGGATAAATAATTAATAATGATAATCCTTGCATTTGATACAGCGTCTTATCACATCTTCGAGACATCTCAAAGCGCTTCACAGAATACACTATAAAGTGAATTGACCATATATTTTGTGGGCGAAGCAGTTTGCAGTCACTCTAACGTGCAAACCTGCCATGAACAAATTAAATAGCCACGTTGCCCACCTCAGCCCATACATCACACTCACTGTCACTGAAACCCTCATTCCTACTGTTATTATGCCCTGCTTGGACTTTTCCAATGTGCTGGTCTCTGTAGCTCTACCATTCACAAGCTGCACCTCATCTAACACTGCCACCAGCATCTTCACCCACATGGACTGCGCCCATCATTCCAGTCCTCACCAGGCATCACTGGCTTCCTGGATCCCAGCAGATTCATTTCAAAATCTTCGCCCTCACCTACAAATTGATCCACTCCCTGACATCTTTCTATCTCTCTCATCTTCACCTACCCTACTTCTCCTCCGCTCAGCTAACTCCAGCTAGTTGTGCGATCCCCATCCTCTCTGTGCTACCATTGGTGGCCAAGTCTCCAGTTCCTATGGCCCTAACCTAGGAACTCCTTCTGTCCACCATTCCTCTTGCCCCCTCTCTTTCTGTCTTCCCCACCAGTAACCAGGGTTACATCATGTTCAGCGTTCCATTCATTGGGCTCCGGTCTGCTCCATATCTCCCGCCTAATCCACCCTACCATCAGTGGCCAAGCTTTCAACCTCTCTGCCCCCATCCTCTGGAACTCTATCCCACAGTCCCTTTGCCTCGCTTCCTCCCTTGCCTCCTTCAAGGCCGGACTCAAGACCCTCCTCTTCGATCGTGTCCCACCTCTCTGTCTTCCCTCACCCCTCCCCCACACCTCCCCCATGCTCGAGTCCCGACCCCTGACTGTCCAGTGCCTTGGGATGTCCTCCCAACGTGAAAAGCGTTCTATAAATGTAATTTTGTTGTTGTTGTTGTACATCGCTCAAGGAACCCCACTCCAGTCGATTTGAATTGGAGTTGCGTTGTGTTGAGTCCATTCTGTAAACTTTACACATGTCATAACTAAGAAATCCAATACAAAATACTGCAAATATTACGATACAATCAATCCTGTTATGATCCACTACAGTGTTATACTCACCCTTCATTGTCAAATAACCCACGACTTGGCTTTTAGGAAGTTTTATCAGACGTGCTTTGCGACAGCTGAAAATGTAAACCCACAATGGTTGTTACTAGCTGAAGGCAAGTGATTAATGTATTTGTTGTACCTGTTTCTCAAACATTGTCATATTTTAGTGTTCCTCGTCATATTCCTAAGAGATAGTGCCTGATGTCCTGTTCCCTACACTGTGTAACCAACCTCATTGAGAATAGAAAAATGATCACTAGTGATCCTTCCCTCCCTTGTTTTCGTTTGGCTTCTTGTTCTGACAGGAATCACAGATTGGCAACAAACAAATATTCTTCTGGACCACAGGCCACTACTTAAGTTTCAAACACCCAGCTGCCTTTACATTGAATTCACAGGTAAAGCAATGGTTATTTCTAGGTACTAGAATTATTTTATAGATGTGATGGGAAGGTTAGAAGAATCAGAGAGTTTGATTATTATACATATAGAATGCTCAGGGGAACAAAATCTGGGTCTAGATTAGTTTACTTTAAATAGCACTTTAGAGCATTCATAATTTGGCAAATTCGTAACCGTTACCTTAAACGGAAGCCTGTTTTCTGTAAGTTTGTGTTTACATACCAGTTAAGCAGAGTGCCTCAGGGGTACCTCGGTCATTAATATATTCCCTGGGGTTTTCCTGTTCCTTGTGTATATATTAATGAACTGGATACACAGAACCAGTGTAAGATAATTAAATTAGCAAATGACACCAAGTTGGGAGTAACTGAAACCGAAGTGTCAGCAAGGGCCTTAAAAAAGGGAGTTTCATAGGGTATGCAAATGGGTGGTAACTGGCAAATGAAGTTTAATACAGATATTGCAACGTGCTACATATAAGAATCATAGAATCAATCATAGAATTATACACCACAGAAGGAGGTCATTGGGTCCATCTTGTCTGTGCCAACTCTTTGAAAAGAGCTATCCAAATCAATTCCACTGCCCTACTCTCTCCCCATAGCCCTGCAAACTTGTCCGCCCCAAATATCTATCTACTTCTCTCTTGAAAGTTGTTATCGTATCCCCTTCCACCACCCTTTCAGGCAATATATTCCAGAATAGGAAGAATAGGAAACACTTGCACTTCTAGGATGGGACATCTTCCCGACGTGAAAGGCGCCATACAAATGTAATTTGTTGTTGTTGTGGTGGTGGTAATAGAATTTACCAAAGAGGAAGCTGAAAGAGATCTAGGGGTGTTGACTCATTGCTAACTATATTCAAAACATTGTGAGGTGGCAATCAACAGGAAAACTAGGCTATATTGCTAAATCAGTTTAGATCTCCAAATATCATAATCAGGCTCTATATATAGTGCTCTGGTCAGACCACACATAGAGACAATTTAGAAGAGAGCAATAAGGATGATATTTAATAATCCTTACATTTGATATAGCTCCTTATCCTGTCATTGAGACGTCTGAAAGCACTTGAAAAGATATACTGTAAAGTAATATGATTGTGTGTATATTGTAAGTGAACGCACAGCCAATTTTGCTTCCAGCAATGACCCACAAACAGCCATGGAGTGAGTGACCAATTTCATTTAGGGGATTGTTGGCCAGGATATCGGGAGAGACTCCCTTCTCTTTTAAAATAGTACTATGGGACTTTTAATATCCACCTGGACAGAGAGATAGGACCTCAGTTTAACATCTTATCCAAAGGACAGCACTTCTAACAATCCAGCGCTGGAGTGTCATTCTTGACTATATGAGTTCTATGTGTTGGAGTGGGGCTTGAACCCACAAACTTCTGACTCAGAGATGACAGTGCTACCAACCCAGCCAGGCTGTTAGAAGAATGAGTTATGAGCAACAATTAGACAAGTTAGAGAAGAGTGTATAAAACTTTAAATGGATTCAAAAAGTAAACCCTGAACAAATTACTTTAGGATGCTCTAAGACAGAGGACATAAGTTTAGAGTTGCAAAGGGCAGTTTCAGGACAGACATCAAGAAGCTTTTCTTTACCACGAAAGTAATTAACAATTGGAATAAGTTACTACGAAGGAAGACCCTGGACTCATTTAAAAAGCAGCTTAACACTGATTGGGAAGGTAGTTCACAAGATATTCTGGAACAATCAATTTAATGGGAACGGATGACACACCTACCTTTGAAACATAAGGATTCTGGTCAAATGGAAACCTCATTCTTAGAGCTTCATGCACCTAGTGTAGTAACAGAAAGAAACATTTTGTTAATTGATGTGAAAAATAAATGTCTGAATAAAATGGTTAAAATGCACACATCTGGACTTTACCTTTTTGTCTATCACGAAACAAATGATAAAAATTAAGAACCCCTGGAAAACAAAACAAGAGAGTTGAAATAGATCTATAGGATGTTAGCTAACATTTATTCACCGTGCCCAAGAAGTGAGGTAACATAAAAAAAAAAAGGATGCTGAACTACATTTTTTCAAAATCAGCTGATTTCATAACACTAGAAGTCATGCTCAAGCTGCATATGCTCTGTTCAAGATGTCAGGGATTTTTATTGTCTAACCAAGAGGGTAGACAGGACCTTGGTTTAACCTTTTATCCAAAGGGCAAGTGGGTCATGATGATGAATGAAATAATAAGCTAGACCATTTTAACCATCAAGAGAGGTAATCCTTGCATTTAATCCTTGCATTTGAAATAATGCCTTATCACATTGTCAAGACATCTCAAAGCGCGTCACAATATATATATTTATACTGTAATGTGGAATCACTTTCACGTCGGGAGGATGTCCCAAAGCGCTTCACAGAACACATGTAAAGTGAATTGACTCTATATTTGTGGGCGAACGCGGCAGCCAATTGCGCACAGCAATGTCCCACAAATAGTCGTAGATTGAAAATGACCAATTTATTATTGTTTTTTGTTTTGGAGGGATTATTATTAGGCGTGTGGAGTAAGGAAACTTGTCCAAGGTTTCGCCCTGCCTGGAATTGAACTCAAGTCTCTCGCTTGCAAAGCGAGTGCTCTAACCACTGAGCTACAGGACTCCACAAAACTGGGGCAAGTCATCCAACCAATTGTACCAATAGAGTTCCCGTGGTTGATAGTATTATTATTATTATTATTATTATTGTTGTTATTATTATTATTATTATTGTTATTATTATTAATGTCTACTTGAATTTTCACTAATAACTCCAGAGTTGAGATTCTAGATAATACATACCTGCAATCCATTGATCGCTGAAAACAGATAATGGAAAATAATACCACTATCTTTTGAAAGATTTGGGAATCCAATTATCCAAGTCAGACCTAAGACTGGGGTTAGGATAACAACGCTTCTTAGAATTTGTTTGAAGCAGCCTTTGCTGTGATATTTGGAGTGTTCTCCGATGGTTGGTCTCAACAACTTGCATATTGCCACTAACACAATGCAAATGTTGATTGCGATGATAGCCGACATAGGTCCAACAAAGGCAAGTAGAACTTTTCTGTTTTTCCATTCGAGCCAGCATTCCTTCTGCAGATTGTATTGGTTCTTTGGATACGTCAGTGCAATTGTGATGCTTGCTATTATTATTGGGCACAGGTAACCCACGATAAAGCACATTGTTGTTATGACTGAAATGCTGAAGTCATGAAAAACAAAGATCAGATGATACAGAAGTAGTAATCCTAGGCTTAACTTCCAGAAAAACAAGGCAAGAAAAAAAAAGTGCTTCAAGAAAGTCAAAATGGTGCAGTACAATGGAGTTGGGTGCACAAATAAAGGCACAGCCGTCAAACCATTAGCCATCAGTAGAGATACAATAATGTTCAGAATGACAACGTTGCGGATGTATGAAGTCTTATTTTTGGTCAAGTACTTCCATGTTATTGCCTCTATAATGATGCTGATTATTAAACTTCCAATAGACATGCCAATTCCTATGAGGGATATTAAGTCCAAAGCTCTGTTATTTTCAGGGGTAAAAGGGCTCATCATAACAGAATAAGATGTCAAGTGATTGCATTTGCAAACAGCATAGCCTTTTTGTATTTCAATACTGCATCCTTTATCATCCCAACCTGGTTCAGAAAAGTTCCAAAACACACATTCAGCTGACAAGGAATCAAGTGAGTTGTTTTCCAGCTGTAGACGCATTTCAATTTTGACACTACTGTTCTTTGTAGTTGTTGTCAAAATAAGAGAATTTAATACATGATCTTTCCTCTTTGGACTCAGAATGTTAACCACTGTTGGGGAAGCAATGCTCAGAATAAAGGAGTTTTTTGGAAGGAATGCATATTGACTTTTATCAATAAATGCAGTGCCACTTATATTATTGGAATCCAAACCATGAAATGTCACATTAAAAGAGTTGTTTTCATCGGAGTCAACTTTTAATCCTTTCAGTTGAATATTTGGCGTTGTGATTTCGATGGAGCTTTCATTGGTACTTATTAACTGGGTAAATCTTTCTAATGACTCTAGCATTTGTGATTGGCGATTCTTCTCAGTGTTTGATTCTTTAATGATGTTCCAATTTGAAATTGTTGTTTTATCAGTCATAAAGCTCATTACTGTCATAAAATTCTGGAAACATAATACATAGCTTTAATAAACATGTTTGGGACAAATTATAAGGCTGGAATAGAGAGAAAACAGTCTGAGAATGAGAAAATTATAAAAATAGCTTGAATGAAGGTAACTGAAATCTGTAACAAGAAGAATGACTGGAAAGCTTCAGCATATCAAACCCCTGGTGAATTTTTTTCTAATGTCTTGGTTATGTTTTTTCGTTGCTTATCATTCTCTGATCCAGTTACTTTCAACTCAGCCTTTCTACTCTGATCACAATATCACAAGATTTGTTTGGATGAAGAAGGCCCTTCAGCCTACCTGATTTCATCCTTCCAAGAATATCCATGTTCCCATCAATACACCAAGCTGTCTTCTGAATGAAAAGCAGAAAAAGGTTCCCGCCCAAAATGTTAATCTGTTTTTCTCATTCAAAAGCTGATTAAGCTGTTGTGGATTTCTAGCTCTTTCTTGATTTGTACTAAAATATTTTATTCCAAAATATCAAGTTTCTTCTTTAACTCTGATTAAATCAATAGATCCAAAAGTCCAACTTTAAGTCCATTTTGTCTTGTGTTTTAAGATCATGCATAACTGTGGAAAAGTCTTATATTGAGTTATACCAACAACTACACCAAGAAATTGCATTTATATAGTGCCTTTCCTGTCGGGAGGACGTTCCAAAGCAAAGGGTTTACACCCGAGCTGGGGGTTGAACTCAAGAGGAGTGGAGGGCAAGGGTGTTGGGGGATGGGAGGATGACCAAAATAATGGTCAAAGAGGAAGATCTTGAGATAGGCTTGAAAGAGGCAAAGGTGAGGGTGAGGCAGAAGAACATCAGGATGGAGGTACAGAGAGTGGGGGAAAAGTTTGAAGGTCTGACCACCGATTTTAGGCCGGCAAGGCAGGGTATATGGCCAGTTATAACACAAAATGCGATTTTCTGAGGTTCTTAACAAGAACCAGTTTCCAAAGGCTAAATTTCAGAATCATCTGCAATTCTGCACAATTGCAATTTTAAAATAAATGGTTGTTCAAGATAAGATTTGCAGGGAATTTAGGCCTTATAGAAGCAGTAATAACATTTCTGGCCAGTGAAATTGACAACACAGTTTGAACTATAGCTACAAATGAGTACTGTACTTGTGGGAAAAAATAGATACTGGAAAGGGAAGGATCACATGTTTCTCAGACAAAAAAATATTGTTCCTAATACTTAATAATAATAATCCTTGCATTTGATATATCAGCTTATCCTATCTTCAAGACGTCTCAAAATACTTCACAGAATATACTGTAAAGTGAATTGACTATATATTTTGTGGGCAAAATGTAGCAGCAATTACGTACAGCAGTGTCCCACAAACAGTCGTGGATTCAATGAACAACTTCTTATTTTTTTAAAAAATTTGAAACAATTATTACCCCAGAAAAGCAGTCCATCAATCAACTGATAAGCAGGTTCCTACTTACTGCTAGGTAAGCAGAGGCGTGTGGAGCAAAGAAACTTGCCCAATATTTCACTTGCCTGGGAATCGAACACTAGTCCTCTTTTTGTGAGGTAAGTGTTCTAACCACTGAGCTACAGGACTCCATTTTTTGTGTGTACTTATTTGTATATGGAATGTGTAAGTTCCAAATGTGATCTTTGCATAATATCACTTTTCCCTGTGGTTTACCTTGATGCTTTAGGTATCAAAGTTACTTTCTGGTATCATTTGGGCTGCGGTGTAATGTAAATCTGCTGGCTGTTTGTGGAATATAATCTTATAGTAATAATTAATCATCCTTGTATTTAGGATGGCACCTTATTACATTGGAAGGATGTCTCAAAGCTCTTTGCAGGATTTACTGTGAAATGGAGTGACTATATTTGTAGGCAAATACGGTAGTCCATTTGCACACAATGTCCCACAAACAGCCATGAAATGAATGACCAATTTTATTATTGTTGTTGTTCTGTATGTACATCAGGGAAAGGAGAGGACCAACGATATAGCCCTTAGAAGCACCACAAGTGATCATACGGGGCACGAGGAGAAGCCTTCAGAGGAGACATGCTGAAGATGCTGGGACAGGTGGGACAGAACCAGAAATGTGAAAATTTACCAGGAAGAAGAGACAGTGGAAAAGGATGGAGTGGTCAACAGTGTCACAGTGGTGGAGAGGTCGAATAGGCGAAAGAATCTTTTCACAGACAGAGAGGAAACTAGGACATACTCTGTGCTGTGGGTGGGATGGTAAACAGATTCAAAGGACTCATCTAAGGAATGGTGGAAGAGAAAGTAACAATGCTGGGAGCTGACCAAGCTGATAAGATCAGGTTGGAGGTGGGATGATAACTGGAGGATTTGGAGAGGGTCAAATGTACATTTGTTGAAAACTGTAGAATCTGAGGAGGCAGCAAAGGTCTTACAGATAATAACTGAATAGTGAATGTACATGGGATAAAGACAGGCAAGTAAAGTTTAATTCTGCAAAAAGGTTCTGCATATTGGATGTAAGAACAGGAAGCACATGGGATAGAACTTGCCAAGGGGGAAGCTGAAAGAGAGCGAGAGGTGTTAGTTGCTCTCCATGTGCAAAAGATATAAGGCAGCAATAAACAAGCAAACAGGATGCTATATTGCCAAATTAGTTGACTTCATAGCACCAGAAGTCATATTCAAGTTCTGGACAGGTTGGTGCTCCTGGAGTTCTGCTGTAAACATCTCTGGTGACCATGAAACTATGGCTGCCCAGGCACTAAATACACTAAATAATAATAATAATAATAATCCTTGCGTTTGATATAGCGCTTTTCACGTCGGGAGGACGTCCCAAAGCGCTTCACAGAACACACTGTAAAGTGAATTGGCTGTATATTTGTGGGCGAACGCGGCAGCCAATTGCGCACAGCAATGTCCCACAAACAGTCGCAGATCGAAAATGACCAATTTATTATTGGTTTTGGTTTTGGAGGGATTATTATTAGGCTCTGTGTGGAGTAAGGAAACTTGCCCAAGGTTTCGCCCTCTGCCTGGAATTGAACTCAGGTCTCTCGCTTGCAAAGCGAGTGCTCTAACCCCTGAGTTACAGGACTCCAGAAGACGAGAGGAATGAAGATGATATACAATGTTAGACAAATATTCCATAAGTAACAAGCCAGGGCTCTTTAGCCTTGAAAACTGACCTCACAGTGGGGACATTAAAGAGCATACCCTTCAGTCCCTTCAATCCCTGCAATCCCTTCAGTCCCATTTATCTAACCTTTCCCCCATATCCTTATAGTTTACTCATTTTTAGATATAATCTGTATCATGCATATCTTACCCCCATTTCACTTGCATCCACAGAAACATTTTTCACTTTTGAGAATGATTCCAGAATGTCACCCATAGCTACCATGTTTCCTAATGATGTTGCGTATGTAAGATTCATAATTTTAGCTGCAGTATGAAGGAGTTTGGTGAGATTCGCTGCTACATGCTTTGGGTCTGCGACCATCTGAAAAATAAAGCTCAAAGAACTATAAGGAAACAAACAGTGTTGATTAATACCATCTATTACTATATCAATGAACAATAACCTGCAACTAAAACATAGTGTAAGCGCTTTGAGACAATTGCTTTGAGACGTGAAAGGCATAACAAAAATGTAAATTGTATTGTATTATTTCATAATCTGCGCCATTTCAAATCATTCTTATTTGTTACATTGATCAACTGTGATCTTATTAAATGGCAGGACAGGCTCGGGGGGCCA